GCAGGAAGGAAGAGCTGAGGTCGCGGGCTTTGCTGGGCCACCAAGAGCCGACAGGCACTTTGCACACTGCCGAAACACCGTGACGGGGCTGCCGGTGTCCACAGCCAAGAGAGCGGCCCTTCTCTGCTGGCGTCTCTTCTTCAGAAAAAATAAGGCGTGAGACCAGAGCTGCCCCGACTCCGGTTTCCCCGAGACTGGTGCTCACCAGGCCCTGCGGGACCCACTGTCACCGAGACACGGAGAAGTGGAGCGGGACACGTCGTGACGATGGCAGCCGGCAGGGCGCACTCAGGCCCTGGGTGTCGGGCCCTGTCCTGGGGTTTCGCGTGTTTTGTTCACCACCACCCACGGTGGCGGCCGGGGGACGGGCAGGGAGCAGGAGACACAGAGCACAGCGCGCCCCCTGTGCAGCCGCGCCCCCCCCCCGCCCCCCTGCAGCTGTGACCTCTGCGTGAGCCAAGAGGGCAGCGCGCCGTAGGTAAGGTTCCTGGAGACAGGCACGGATGACACCCTGCTCTCGGTCTTACTCCTGGGACGCGCCCGCCCCCGAATTCCTCGCCGTGATCCCCCCCAGGAACCGTGCCTGCGGAGAGCAGCAGGTGACAGAGCCGAGGCCTGTACCACTGACGGGCGAGCGGGGGAAACCATCGGAACACGCTGAGGGAGAGGAGGACGCCCAGCGGCCGGCTGGGAGTCACCGGAGAGGGACGCCCTCTTCATTCGCTCCCTCTCAGCCCTCTTCTCGGTGGGGGAAACGCTGGTCTCCCTTCCCGTGCGGGGCCCTGCCGGCCAGCCCCTGCGCGCCCTGCGCACTGGTCCCCCCAGCAGCCCAGCCGCCTCCTGTCATCGTGCGTGGGCCACTTCCCTGCCTTGTCCGCAGACTCGCTCCTCCAAAACCAGCGGTCCGGTCTGCGTCTCCGTTCGGTTTTGTTCGGTGCTCTGCCTGTTTGGTGCAGACTCCGCGCGTGAGTGACGTCGGGCGGCATTTGTGTTTCTTGTGTTTCTCCCCCCGGCTGGCCTCACTCGGCAGAGAGCCCTCGTGGCCCATCCCTGTCGGCCCAAACGGCCGCCTTTCGTCTTTTCTTGCGGCCGAGCCGCATCCACTGTGCAAATGCAGCACATCGTCCCCTCACCTGCTGGTGGGCCTGTAGTTGCTTCCATGTCTCGGCCGCTGTGAACAGTGCCACGGTGAATCGACTCTGTTCTTGGTCTTGACGGACAAAACCCAGCCTGAAGCTGTGCTGTTACGAAGGAGCCCACAACGGTTCCTCCCTGCGCCCCCCCAAAGGGAACGACCAGGCAGCAGTGTGGGGGAGCTGTCGATTGTTCTCCGGTCCCCAGAGCAACTACTTCGGACCTGGGATCTCCGCCCGCCTGGGGCTTCCTGTGCTGCCTCTGGGGCAGAGGAGCGGACGCCACTCCCAGCCCTGGTGGGAATCTCCCCGCCCCGCCCCGCTGCGTGTCCGGGACAGAGACAGTGCCTGGCTCTCGTGGTCCTGCCAGTTTGAGCAGTGTCCCCTGTGGCAGGAGAGGAGCGTGGAAGTTCTCAGGTGTCCAAGCTGGAGCCACTTCGGACTGAGCCTCAGGCAGTGACCGACGGCAGCTGTGGGCTCATGCGCACTTCCCTGCGGCCGCAGTCCAGCCCCGCCCTGGCGGGCACAGAGGTGCGTCCGGGGAGTTTCCCGGCGTGCGTGCCCTGACGGGGAGCCACCCGAGGCTGTCGATGAGATGTGCTCAGAAACTGGGAAGGAAAGAGGAGCCGGGAACTCGGGGAGACGGAAGGGGCGTTTCTCAGCGCTGTGCCCAGGAGCCTGGGCCTCTCCTGGGTTTGGGGCGTGGGGCTCCTGTGGTGACGGCGCAGGGCTGTTCCACCCACCAGCCTCCCGCCTCCCCCTGGGAAAGGGGAGCGGAAAGGTCACCAAACTTGTCTTTAGTCTCTTAATTTTTACCGTGGCCACCCAGTAGGGCTCACATTGCAAGACAGACCTGCGGGGCATCTGGGGGCCCTTCCGTGGCTTTGCACAGGCTGGGCCGAGCAGTAACCTGTGAGTGGGGTGGTGCCAGGAGGTGACACAGGCCCAGACACGTGTCCTGCCGCTCGGAACGTGGCCTCGGAACAAGCTCCCTCCTCGGGACGCAAGCACCTTCCGGGCGTCTCTGCAGACGAGCCAGCAGCTGTCTGCGCGGTGCGGCCGTTCTCGGCCGGTCCTTCCCTCGCATCCCCGTTGTTCCAGGCTCTGCCCTTGGCAGCAGAGGTGAAGGTGACGAGCGGCCTGCTCTGTGTTCCTCGTGCACCTGGCCCAGGGAGGCAGGGTCGGCGGGCTCGCTCGGGTGGCCTGGCCTGTGTGGTGACAGGTTCCATGCGGTCGGACAGCAGTTCGAGGCCAGGCTTTGCTGCTCCAGCTCAGCGCTGCTGGCACCGGGAGCCGGCTAACTCCGGGCAAGGGCTGTCCTCTGCGCTGGGGGAGATCCGGGAGGTCCTGGCCCCTTCCCACCGGGAACGTCTGCAGATGTGGCAGGGGACCCCTGAGGAGAGTCACCCCAGATAATGAACCCCAATCTCAGCTCAAGTGAAGAGAGGGATGGGCGTGGTGTGGACGGGCAGGGAGCCCCAGTCCGATGGCTGCCCGTCGGCGACCTGGAAGAAGAGTGTGGGTGACAGCGTGACGCCGCTGCGCCCTGCACGGCTGCGAGCACACGCACCCAGGGCGTGTCTGCTCGAAGACACGCCAGCCCCCACGCGAACACCGTGCTGATGGGAGTTCTCCTCCTGCACCCCGAGTGCGCTCCCCTCCGGGGCGGCCCCGGGCTGGAAGCGTCACGCTGCACCTGAATGGGAGGAGCATAGGTCAGAGCACGAGAAGATGCTCACGTGAGTTCCCATTCCGTGGCCTGTCCCCTGCCGTCTGTGGCCGTCCCCCCTCTGAGCCTCCGTGGCCCCATTTGGTAAAGTCAGAGAATGGACAGAATGCTGCCTGCTGTTCTTGACCTCACAAGGCTGTGTAGAGCGAACCCTCTGAAACGCGTGGACACCTGTCTGCTGAGAAGCAGCACAGGGAAGTCAGAGGTGGTCGTGTCCTCAGCAGGGGCTCCAGGAAGGACTGGGATAACCGGGTGAGAGAGTGCGGCAGCGTCACTCGCAGTGCCCGGCCGAGGGTCAGGGCACGGTGGGGCTGGGGCACGGTGGCCCGTCAGGGAGGTTGCCCACCAGCAGGGATCTGGGGCAACAGGCGATGCGAAGGGCGCGGGGCTCTCGGCACCCGCAGAGTGGGCCCCGGGGCGGACGCGCCAGCACGCCTGCTCTCCCGGGCATCGTGAAGTCTGTGTCCGCACTTGGCCGAACCTGCCATCGCCCTTCCTCAGCATGCGGAGGAAGGCTGCCTCGGGATTTCAAAGATCCGCCCCATGGGCGGATTGACTTGATGGATCGCTGCCATTTACCGCGTAGGGCCTCCTGGTTCGTAAGGCCCGTCCTCGAACTAGTGAGTTAGAACAGGGGGCCCAGGCCCCGGCCCGGGGGCTCTCTGGGTCGGAGCGTCGTCCGGTACACGGGAAGGTTGCAGGGCCAGTCCCCGGTCGGGCGCGTGTGGGCGGCAGACGCACAAACACATGTGCGCGGGTGCGATTTTGTCCGTGTCTGGGGCTCCCCGGTAGTCGGACACCGTCCGCACTCACACGTCGGGCAGTGGGTGCGCGGTGGTTTCGTGGCTGTTCTGGGACCCTCCAGCCCGCCGCCGCTGCAGTCGGGTGTCTAGGCTGCATTCGTCTGACCCTGACCCTGGGGGCTACGTTGTGTTTCAGAGAACATGGTAAAGAAGTAAATTATTTTTTATTCTCACTCAAGGATGTGTTTGTTGATTTTTAGAGAGAAGGGACGGGGGAGAGGGAGAGACACATCGATCGGTTGCCTCCTGGACGCGTCCCAACCAGGGGTTCAGCTCAAAACCTGGGAAGTGTGTGCCCTGACCGGCTGTCGATCCGGCCAAGGCACGATCAGTAATTTTTCCTTAAATGTGGGTAATACGGGACTCCAAAACCACGGTGGTGGTGTTGACCAGGAGACTGGTGTAGACTGAAGAAGATGAAAGAGACAATAGTCAAAGACAACAGTTAAGATTCTCAGATGCGCATCCATAACGATACTCAAAAAAATAACAAGAAATGTGGAAACTTCTCTACAAAAGGGTGATGGTGGAGAGGGAGCGTGAGAACGTTCAGTCACCGGCCTGTGACCCCCAGTGTGACAGCTGCCTCAGGCAGAACTCGCCCGCAGATGCCGACCCCGGCGGGTGGAAGGGTGCTGGAGGCGGGCGTCACCACAGGCCAGGCCACCGAGCCCGGGTCGCCAGGCAGGGGCCGCTTGGCTGTGTCCCTGCGCCCTGGTGCCACAGGAGGGTCAGTGTCACGATGCGGTGGTGGCGGTGGACAGCGATGCCAGTGATTCTGAGCAGACAGAGGGCCTGCAGAGGGGGTGGACGGGCAGCAGCCACGGGGCAGGAGCCACGGTTAGATCCTGGGTCCAGGGTGGGGCCGAGGGGAGGACTCACCCTGCAGAGGGGAAAGCTGCAGGAGCAGGCCCACGGCCAGGACAGAGCTGTCTTCTTTGTCCTCCCAAGTCTCCCCCCACCCACCCCTGCCCGGGCCCAGGCTCTGCCCTGTCCTGTGCTGGGGCCCCAGGTCGGCGCCAGAGGCCAGCGGCCCTGCCTGGGGGGCTGACATAGCTGTTTCTGCACAGTGAGGTGCTGCTGCCCTCACACCAGGGCCCCCCCGGCCGCCACCAAATGCGTGGCCTTGCTGACTTTCCGTCTCTTCTTCTCTGGCGCCCTGGCCGTCGTGGGGGGCTGCCTCCCCTTTCACAGGAAGGAGCGGCCGCTGCCTGGGTGGGTGCTCAGATGCTCCTCCCGGCGGTGCCCCTCCTGCCTGCGCCCTCGGCCGTCCCCGCAGGAGGGGCTCAGTGCCTGCAGTCAGTCACAGAGCTTTGCTGCTTCGCTTCTCCGCAGGGTCCAGCGTGAACGGCCTGGAGGAGCCCAGCATCGCCAAGCGGCTGCGCGGCACCCCGGAGAGGATCGAGCTGGAGAACTGCCGCCTGTCCGTGCAGCCGGCTGCAGAGCTGCAGGAGGTGCCCGAGGAGACGCAGGCCGAGCACAACCTCAGCAGCGTGCTGGACAAGGGCCTGGAGGACGACGCCGCCAGCAGGTGAGCTGGCCAGGGCCCGGCTGCGGCCCTGCCCGTGTGCTTCCCCGGACCTCTTCGGTCAGTCACACGGAACCACGGCTGTCTGGGCGCCCGGGCCCCTGCGGCGACAGGAGCTGCTCCTGACGACTGGGCTCCCTGGCCCTCGTCTCTCCTGGGAGGCCCCTCGTCCTTCCTGGGGCAGGGCAGCCAGTGGTCCCGACTTACGGTCCCAGGCTGCTGTCCAGGGCTGGCAGGGGTGCCCACAGCCTCCTCCCTGCGGAGGGCAGACCCAGCAGCAGGCCTGGGCGCAGGTGCAAGTGTAGAGAGGCCCGAGGTGCTGGCGGCAGGAGCCTGGCCAGACCCTGAGGGCGTCTGCTTGGTCCCAGGGGAGTGACCTCCAGGAAAGTGCTGCGGAGAGCAGCCCACACGCCTGCCTCAGTTTCCAGGTGGATTCAGCACAGCCCCTCAGAGATGGCCTGAGAGCCTGCATCCTGCCAGCGAGGCAAGGGTGGGCCTTTCTGTCCTGCGCTGTGCTCTGCACCCCAGGGTCCCAGCCTGTCATAGGTACAGCCCCTGTGGGCTCACAGCTAGAGGTGGGGCTCCCTGCTCCCACTGGGCACCGTGTGGGGTCAGGGCAGCACCCCACACCCCCGAAGCTGCAGCGCGTCTCGTCCCGCCTCTCAGTCCACCCAGGTCTCCAGGGGGCACAGGAGGCCTTGTAGCCTTGTGTTGTGTTTGAAAGACGTGAAGTAGTGGTCACGGGGTTGCACGTTGTTGCTTATTAATAAGAAAGTAAACAGATGCCCTTGGCTGGGGTGTCTCAGTGGACTGAGCAAGGGCCTGTGAACCTCAGGGTCGCTAGTTCGATTCCCAGTCAGGGCTCATGCCTGGGTTGCAGGCCAGGTCCCAGTAGGGGGCGCGCAAGAGGCAGTCACACATTGATGTTTCTCTCTCTCTCTTTTTCCCTCCTTTCCCCTCTTTCTACAAATAGATAAATAAAACCTTAATAAAAAAAAAAAAAGGGAAGCAAACAAATGAAAACTTAAAGGTGAGGCAGAAACAAAGCCTAAGCAAATATGGAAAAATAATCGAAGTCCAGGAGCCACCTTTCTGCCTGAGGTCCTAGCACTCACGCTCACCCACGTCAGACAGCTGGGGGGGGCAGCGGCAGAACCCCAGTCCTGAGGGCCCGGCTGCCTGAGCTTCCGAGGGCGTGCAGCCCCCAGGACAGGCCACGCTCTGCCCCGGGTCACCTGCGGGAGCTCCCAGGCCACCCTCAGCTCCGCTGTTTCCTGGAAGGACTCAGCGCTCCCTGACAGGTGGCACACGTGTGAGCCGGGCAGGTGCCTCCTTGCGGGCTGGGCCAGGCTGGGCAGGAAGGAAACAGCGGCACAAACACAGCCGCTTGTCAGGGGCGACGGCCGGGCTCAGGTGCTTCCGCCCTGTCCCCACGGCCCTGTTTGGCCCCATGCCCGCTGCCCCCCGCCACGCCCAGCTCGCCCGCCCCCCTCTGGCACCCACACCTCAACCGCCCACCGGGGTGCGAGGACGCCGCTCCAGCCTCTCACGCCTCCTCCGCTCCGTGTCCCGGGCACCCGAGTCCAGAGAGCGGCTCACGGTGAGAGGAGACTCTCTCTCCGCTCTTGACCCCTGGGGTCAAGAGTTCACATCAGAAGGGCCCGGGGCCTCTCGTGGCCGTGTGGTGTCGGCCGCTCACCTGCCTCTCTGCCCTCCCGCCCCTCCGGTCTCCCCTGGGCAGGGCAGCAGGCTGGCCCTCCAAGGGGTCCGTCCCTCCCTGCCCAGCAGTGCTCTGCGGGACATGCGTGTCCACCTCACGCTTTTCCCCCCTCACGTGGCCTGTGGTTCTTCCCATAGCAGCTCTGAGTCCGAGATGGAGGAGGAGGAGGACGAGGAGGACGGGCCCGCGCTGCCCACCTCGGACCTGGGCGGCGTTCCCTGGAAGGAAGCTGTGCGGATCCACGCGCTGCTCAAAGGGAAGAGCGAGGAGGATCTGGATGCCTCCAGGAGCCGGGAGCCCGGGGAGGAGGAGGAGCAGGAGGAGGAGGAAGAGGAGGAGGAGGAGGAAGAAGAGGAGGAGGAGGAGGAGGAGGAGGAGGAGGAGGAGGACTACGACGCGGAGTCCAGTGAAGGTGAGAAAACCATCCCACCCGCCGTGGCCCTTCCGTCCCGCGGCGCCCTGCCTGCCTCTGACCGCGGCCCTGGGCGGCGGAGCCCTCGCAGCCCCCCAGCACCCCCCCAGCAGCCCCCAGCAGCCCCCAGCAGCCCCCGTGCGCTCTCCAAGTCCCCATTGGAAGGCAGGGGCCCACGTTGGGGTCTGCGTGCCCTTCTCCTTGTCTTCCACTTTTTCCTTTTAGTTTCAGCGAGTGAAACTTGCCTTGCTAAAGAAAGGGAACTTAACTTTCTGGAGGCTCCCCAACACCGGGCGCCCGATCCCGCAGGCTGCGAAGACGGGCGCTCACACGCGCTTGTTCAGAGCCGCCGCCGCCGCCGAGCGGGGCTGGGGGCCAGGCTCCCGCGGGGCGGGCTCAGCCAGGGCCGGGCGCGCGTGTGCTTGTCCAGACAGAGCGGCAGCTCCAGCGTCCAGCTCGTCCAGCTGGCTCAGACGTGTCCGTGCTCTGGTTCAAGTGTTCCAACCCTGGCCCTGCGCCTGGCCCCGTGTGTCCTCGAGTGAGGGGGGAGGAGCTGGCTGGGCCTCCTCTTCTTGCCGTGGAGGACGCAGGGTCCCACTCTCCATCCCCTGGCTGCGCAGGGGTCTGATGGGTAGAGACCGAGCCCCTGAGAGCAGAGCCCTCTCCCTGGGGAGCATGGGGGAGAAGGGCCTCCAGCCCAGTTCCTCCAGCCTTGCAGAGAGGCCGTCAGTCCGCACGGCCGGGGCATGCAGCGCTGGCTCTGCTGGCTCGGCTGCCCCGTCCACCCAGGGTCTGTTTTCTCGGGTGCAGCGAGGGCACAGAGCCCTGCCGGCCAGTCACACGATGCCCCGTGGTCTGAGGCCCCGCCTCGGTCAGAGGCAGGGCGTGGCCAGGCCTCCGGGTAGCTTCTCCGCCCCTTCTGCGGGGGTGGGACCCAGGAGGCGGCCCTGTGTGGGGTGTGGAAGGAGGCAGCCCCGGGCCTGGCGCTGCCACTGGGTTCTCCTGTCCAGAGGCTGCATCTCTGGCCCGGCACTGCCCCACGTCCCTGCTGCTCATGGGGCCACGGCGCAGGGTCATGGCGGTGTCCTCTGCAGCAGAGCTCGCCCTGCCCCTGGCAGACTGCGCTTCCTGGGCCCGAGCCTGGCATCGAGACCAAGCCCTCGGGCCGGCTTCAGAGAGACACAGGCGAACTGCCCCAGGTTGGGCCTGGGGCGTGGCCTGGATACCTGTGTGGGCAGAGGCCGCCGCCTCGCTGCTGAGGATAAAGCTGCCTCCTCGTTGTCTCCCTGCCGCGTTTGCGGCTGTCTGGCTCCCCCTTGTGTAGAAACAGAGGATTGCCCTGGGGCAGAGGACAAGGCTGCTCCGGCCGTGCCGCCTCTCCCCCCTTCCAGCACGGGGGGGGGGGGGGGGGGGGGGGGGGGCCGCCCCCCGAAGCCATCCTGACTCTGCCCACAGGGCAGATGGCACGTGCAGATTCCTGTTTCCTAGACAGGCTTCATGCAGCACACAGCCTGGGCCTGGCCATCAGGCCGGCCGGGCCCCAGATGGCACGTGGGACGGGCTCAGGAGGAAACTGGGGGAGAGCCGCGGCGGCCGCCTGTGTCCAGCTGCACGCTCCCCTGTTCCCCTCGTCCGGTGCCGCCTCCCGTCGCAGCCCCGTCCCCAGAGGGGCCACGGGTGCCCAAACCTCCCTCCACCGCGCCCTCAGAGAACCCCGGGGGCAGACCCGGGCCCACTTACTGCCAGGAAGCAGGGAGGAGACTCACACTCTCCCCACCCCCGTCGCCGTGAAGGTGAAGGGGCCCCGAGTCTCTCTCTGACTTACCTTCCTTGGCCCGAGACGCCCAGGCCCTCTGGTGGCCTCGCGGTGACTCCGCCCCACCCAGCGCCTCCAAGGGCCAGGCGGCCGTAGGAAAGCCCCCAAGTCTGCAGGGACCTGCGGGTCTGAGTTTGGGACAGCACGGTGCCCGCGGCCCCGTCGGGTGGTCTCGCTGCACTGCGGCCCAGGCCACGGTGCCTGGCGCCTGTAAACACACAGCTGTCTTTTGCAGCAGTGAGGCCGAGGCGGGCTGCACGGTCAGGCTGCTGGCGCAGCTGCCGCCAGGAAGTGCAGGATCCGGGGCAGGTGGCCCCGCTCTTGCCTCCTGGAGGGCCCGCCTCCCTTCCCCAGCGCGCCCTCCCCTGAGCTGCTGGCTGTCCCTGTACCTCTCCCCGCTGTGTGGCCTGGCCGCGTGCAGACCCCTCGAGCGCTGGGAGCGAGAACAGTCCACAGGGCCCTCTGGCGAGTCCTCGTTCTGCTGAGAAACTGGCACCCGTGTCCAGGGACTCAAGTGGAATTTAAGGAAAGGGGGCTTTGAGCTCAGAAAAAGGAAGAGGGATTGTCGGCCCATGAAGTCCTGGAGCTTTGGGAACTTACGGGACGGAGCTCTGCTTCCCTGCGCCCGCGGCCGGGCCCCCCACCTCAGCCCCCCCCCCACGGCTGCGTCCCTGCCATGGGCCCACGCAGGTGGGGGCCCTGACTACAGACGGGAACCTGACACTCCCGGAATGAGCATTTCTGTCCCGTGCGGGTTGGCTGGTCATGGCAGAGGGACCGTGTCCGTCCCGCCTCATTCTTGTCACTCGGTTCAACTCTCAGAAGCGGGGCGGCACGGCACCCTGCTGGGTGACCTGGGACGGGGTCCGCTCTGTGGGGCCGCCCGAGGCTGTGGTCAGGTGCCCCTTCTCGAACGTGGCCTTGGGTCTCTCGAGGGCAGCCACGGTGAGAGAAGCATCCAGAGGGAAGCTCTCGGTGCTCAGGCCACGTCTCCTCGTGCAAGTCCACGGCGAGCGTGAAACGTGAAAGGACATCGCGTGGGAGCATGGGGGCCACGTGTGTGCGGCCTGTCGCGTGGTCTCGACATCTGCCTCTTTCTGGTTCAGTCTGGCGACGAGATAACGTTTCTCTCTGTTTCCTCTCCTGTGGTGTTTCCTTCCCTCCCTCTCTCCCGCCCATGACTGTTCGCCTCCCGCTCCCTCCCTGTCATCGCTCCCGTCCTCACTGCTCCCCCCCTCCCCACTCCCCCCGCCGGGACCGGGCGCAGCAGCTGCCCGGAGCCAGAGGCTGCCGCAGGCCCCGAGCGCGGCCGACCCCCTGGAGATCCAGGCGGACGTGCACTGGACGCACGTCCGGGAGAAGGAGGAGGAGGAGCGCACGGCGCCCGGCTCCGCGCCCTCCACTTCCCGAGGTAACGGCGTCCGACCCCGCACCCAGGCCTCTCTCCTCGCCGTGGGGCTCTGCCCTCACGGCCAGAGCACCTGCCCGGCCAAAGGAAGAGCTGACAGACACTGTACTGTCTTCATGTTGCTCCCCGCCCACCCTGGGCAGGTTCAGAGGTTGTGAGTTCTTTCCCCACACGTGCAAACTGGCAGGCTGAACTTGACCTTGGGGTGCAAAGAGTGTGCTTTCTTTCCCCCGTATGAGGAGGCCGGTCGCTCTTGCCCCGCTGGTGGAAGTCCAGCCCTGGGCTCCTGGGGTGTGCCTGGCGGTGCGTGTGCGTGGGCAGGAGGGGCCGGGAGGCCCGGGGTGAGCAGGAGTGCGGGTTTCCGGGGACGGGGACGTCGGGGAGGCCAGTGAGTCGCTCTGGGCTGTGGGTGCGGTGGTCTGTGCCCCGTCTGGCCACAAGGGTGCTCGAGCAGGAGTCGCGTGATTCCCCCGCTTCCCGCCTCTATCTTGCTCACTGAACCTCGTTTCCGTCCAGTCCCAACAGGAACTGCGAGTCTCTGAGGATGCGAGGGGGTGGTTGGGGAAACGCCCGTCATGCGCATGCGGTCGTTTGATCTGCTCCTCCCAGCCCCAGTCTTCACCCACAGGCAGGAGCGCCGCGGTGAACTGTTCCCTCCGCGACGAGGGAACCGAACTGTTCCCTGCGCGTGCACGCAGAGGCCCTGCGCGGCCCGGACACAGCGGCCCTGAGCCCCCGCCCCTGCCTGAGCTCCCCCCCCCCCCCCCGCAGTCCCTCCACACAGGCTCGCTGCCCGACGGTGCCGACGGGCTGCCCGGAACGCCGCCACGGCTGCTCTCTTGTCCTGGACTTCAGGGGGCGACGCGACCCTGCCCGGGGGTCCCCCGTCCTGTGTAACGTCATGTTTGTGTCTGTTTCACATTCAGCGCCTGACCTCCCCTCCGCGCGCCGCGCAGCCGTGCAGGCCTGGCTGGAGACAGTGTCCGGAGGTAGCCGGGGTGTCTGTCCTTCCGCTCACGTAACCGCTCTCTCTCGGCAGCTCCGCTGACCCCTAACACTGGACTCCCAGCCCCGCGGCTATGCATGGGGGGCGGGGGCGGGGCACGTGCATGCCTCCCCCAGGGCCCCTGCATGGATGGACACGCTCCCCACGCACCACAGGGGTGAGCCGGGTCCCGTCGGGGACAGAGGCCAGCGCTTACTCTAGCTCACAGAGATCGGGCAGAGGCCAGCGCTGCGGGGGCACCGTCCGCGCTGAGGTGTGCGGTCTGCAGGCCCTGTGGGCACGAAGGAACGCGGGAGTCTGCGGAGGGCCCGTGGGCCCGCTGACGCGCCAGGGCAGGGGCAGCTGGTGCTGCGGGCGGACGTCGCTCAGCTCGGAGAGGGGGGGACGGGCAGCCTTAGCCGGGCCTCCGGGCGGAGTGCGGGGGTCTCTGTGAGTCCTTAGGCCAAAAGCTGGCTGGGAGGCCTCAGTTGTCCTTCCTGCACTTTTCTGGGGAGAAGAGTGTTTCTCAGCGAGGAGCCCCTGGCATCTGGGGTGGGACAGCTCTCTCCACTGCGAGACGTGCGTGGCCCCTGCCCTCCGAATGCCCGGCAGCCGCACTCCCGCCCACAGGACACGCACAGACCGGCTGCACCGATAGCCCTCGGAGAGGGGGCTGCTGTGCCCGAGGGTCCCTGGGTCGGGCAGGGTGGAGCTCACGGGGGCCGCCCATGTCCTTCGGGCAGCAGGAGGCAGGCGCGCCTGCCCACATGCCGAGGGAGAGGAGCTGAGCCACTGCCGCCCGCTGCGAGTGCAGCCGGCGAGCGCCTGCCCCCAGCATGGGTGGACAGGCGGGGGTGTCGGGCGTCCCCGCTGGCAGCTGAGTGGGACTGCAACCTCTCTCCCAGAGTCCTACACCCCACCTTGACCTGGACCTGACCCCAGTCCCACCCCTCCGTCTGCAACTCTGAGAATTGCCGCCCGGTGCCCCGGTGCCCTCACCTGTCTGTGTGACACCTGTGTTGTGGTCTCTTGGGGCACCTCCGAGGGCTATGGACTCTGATCTCTACCTTTGCAGTGAGGCGAGGGGCAGGCCAGGCTGGGACTGAGGGGGTCCGGGGCCTCAGGCTCCCCCAGAGTCGCTTCCCGTGTGCCTGCGCACAACGGTGCTGGGACCCCCTCGATGCCTGGCGTTGGCACGGCGGCCTCCGCCGTGGGCCCAGGTGCGGTTCCCACCGAGCCGAGGTGCCTGCGAAGGAGCCAGGTTCTGGCAGGGGAAGCGTCCACCAGCTGGGTTAGCAGGGCTGTGGCGCAGCCGTGAGCTTGGCTGCAGGCAAGTGGTGCAGGTACGAGGGGCACAGGCGTCCCTCTCCCCGGCGTGTGGGACCGTCTGAGTCGCCCCCAGGGCTTCCCCAGCAGATGCCGCTGTTGCAGGTACGCGCAGGGCCAGGGCGTGGCCGGCTCCCCGGGCTACTCCGCCTCCTCTCAGAGGGTGGGATAGTCACCATCTGCCAGCCCCTAAAGTGTCTTGAGAAGCCCCCCCATCTCCCCAAAACTCGCACTGTTAGCCCAGACCGGTCGGTCCAGTGCCCTGAAGCTGGGTGTGGACCGGGTGCCCCGGTTCAGGGACCTCGGTGTACGTGGGCGGGGAGGTGAGCACACAGCCCGAGGAACCACTCCGGCGAAAGCTCACGGCTCTGCCGCGGCACCCGGAGGCCAAGGCCGGCGTCTGCTAAGTGCCTCTCCCCTCCCCTCCCCCGAAAAGATGGGCACTTCCTTGATTTCCACTGGACGGTGGCCTCAGCAGCCGCTCCCGGGTGTTTCTGACACGCGGGCCCTGCACGCTCCCAGGTGTGGGGCTGCCGGTGAGCAGACCGCGACCCAGGCGTCCAGTGTGGGGAGCTGGGCTGTCCTGGGCTGGGCACAGCCTTGTAAGGAACCCTGCAGCCGAGCTGTGCTGGCCCCCCCCCGTGCCCACCGACCCGTGGGCTCTGGTGCTCGGGCTCCTGGACGCACAGACCAGACTCCAGGCCCCTTCCCCAGGGTGACAGACAGGCTTCAGCAGCGATGTGGGGATGGCGGTGCTTGGAACCTGAGAGGGAGCCATAGGGCCCCAGACAGATGGGTGACGCTGGTATTTCACAGTGGCCTTTCAGACTTTCAGTGTGGGCTTTGAGCGTGCAGAGGTCAGGGGCAGCTGTGAGTGTGAGTGTGTGTGAGTGCGTGCTAGGGGCCGGCTGCTCCTCAGGAGAAACGAGTGCGTTAGTGCTTTGTCGCCTTTGCAGCCCCGAAGGGCTAGGCCTGGGCCCGGCGGGTGGACCTCACGCATCCCCTCTCCCCACCCTGCGCTGCTCTAGAAAAGCATTTCTCTCGATCACCCCACGCAGAACTGCCACTTCTGCCTGCCTGTGGAGGGGGTACAGTGTGGGCCACACCTCCCACAGCGATGTCACTGACGCAGAACACCGCAGCCACTACATGAGCCACACGGCCACGGCCAGTGTCGTCACAGGCAGGAGTCAGAAACGGCCCCTCCAACTGCATTAAGGGACCCGTGGTGGGGGGCGCGGCCACGCAGGGCCAGGCTGGTGAGCCCTGAGCGCTGCTACTTTGCACTCGGGGCTGCTGGGCCTGGGCCTGGGGGGGCCACGCCCCCCTGCCCTCCGCGGGAGGGAGGAGGTGACGGCTGAGCGTGAGTCCACGCCCACGTGACCCATGGAGGAGCCGTCTCGGGTGTCAGGAAGGGCCCCCGCAGGGCGCTCTGCCTGCCCTTCCCCTTCCTCTCCTTCCCTTGACGCGTCTGCTTCACAGGCCCGTCGGACGAGCCTGGCCTGGAGGAGGACGCAGACTCGGAGCCCGCGGAGATGGAAGGGGAGGCCGCTGAGAACGGGGACCCGGGGGACACTGGTGCAGAGCTGGATGACGGTACAGGGACCCCAGACCCCTCCACGGGAGTGGCTGCCTGTTCCCCACGGCGGGGCGGGCCAGAGTGCTCTGGGCCCGGGGAGGGCGGGAGCGGTGCACGCTAGCAGAGCAGGGGCTCGGGGGAGCAGCTGCTCGACCTCCTGGTCGTTCCCTGCTGGGCCCTGATGGGGGGTGCGCTGTGCCCCCGCCCGTCGGCCGCTGCTCAGTGCAGCCTGCACCCGTGCAGCCGTGGTCGAGAAAAGGAGCGGAACGGGGGCCTTGTACGGAGCCTGTGGCCCATGGGTGCTGTGTGAAAGCCAGACACGGGAGGTGGTGTTGTAGAGTTCCACTTTGGTTGGTCGGGAGACAAGGGGCAGGGGCTGGGCTGCAGGAGTGAGAGGGGCGGTCCAGGCCGTGGTGGGGGCCGCACGGCTGGAGCCGCCCACGGGAGAGAAGCACTGGTGAGTGGTGGCCCCCTGCAGCGAGGCCCACTCTCCCCGGGCACACCCACTGGCCAACGTCAGCCTTGGCCTGTCAGCTGCATGTCCAAGAAGGCGGAGCCCAGCGCTTTGCAGAGAGCACCACGCTGCTGAGGGAGTGCGTCCGGCCTGGCGTCAGCCGCTGGGTGAGGAGCCGCGCGCAGGCCCCGGCCTGGCTGAGCTCCCTGCGCTCCTGTCCCTCCGCCAGATCAGCACTGGTCTGACGACATCCCCTGGGAGGCCGAGGCCGAGGTGCACAGGCCGCTGCCGGCGACGGCAGGCGTGGAGCTGGAGCTGAAGGTCTCAGAAGACCGGGCGGCTTGGCCCGCTGCCTCTCCACAGCCCCGAGGGAGAGGTCAGTCTGCCATCGCAGGAGAGGCCCCTCCGGACCCCCGCTGAGGCCGCACGAGGACGGTGGCACTGGGGCGCCCGCACACCAGCCTCAGATGACAACCCCTGCCCCCCGTGCCTGGACCCCGCATGCGGTTTCGGCACCAGCCCCTTTCTGGGTGTCACTGGGCCCTGAGAAGGTGGAAGGAACGGACCGTCCACGGGACAAAAAGCTGGCACTCCTGACCCCGAGTGTGCACAGAGGGCGCCTGGGGGGCCGGTCGCCTTGCTCCTCATCCTGCACCTGCAGGTGGCCGAGGGCACCCCGGCCCCATCACAGAGCTGGTGGGGGAGGTACCGTCCCTGGGAGTGGGTCTCCTCCTGTCAGCCCTCCGTCTCTGCCTTGCAGGTCCCTCCCAAGTCTCCAGTCCCATCCGGCCCACGGCGGCAGAAGCTGCGCTGTTCCCCCGCGTCCACAGCCCCACGGCCGAGGTAAGGGTTGGGGCTCACTGGCAGGGGCAGAGCTGGCGCCCCAAGCGGATGTGTTGGAAGTTAAAGCCACCATGTTTGTGGGATCACTGGTGCAACAAGACAGGTGCACGTCTCCTTGATGTTTGGTTACATTGAACTATAAATTTTAAGTATTTTGTTTATTTACTTTTGAGAGAGAGAGAAGGGAGGGAGAAAGAGGAAGAGAAACATCAATGTGTGAGAGATACATCAGTCAGTTAGTTGTCTCTCATGCACCCACTGCTGGGAACCTGGCCTGCAACCCAGGCATGTGCCCTGGCTAGGAATCGAACCCGCGACCTTCCAGTTTGTAGGCCAGTGCTCAGTCCACTGAGCCACACTAGCCACGGCAGAACTGAATTTTAAAATTAAAAATATGTATTCAGATTACCAGCGGTATACGAACCACACGTTAGAGAGTACTGTGTAAACACGTCGTAACAGTGTGCCCCGTGGAACAGGCTTTGGGAAACACCTGCTGGAGAGAAGACCAGGGAGGGAAGTCCGAACTGCAGGCGGGCCTGCTGGCTCGGGCCTTTGGGGTCCTGAGCAGCGAGGCGAGCGTGGCGGCTTTGGCGGCTTTGGTGGCTTTGCGTGTGCCGTGGGGGAGCTTCCTGAGGCAGGGGTGGGTGGGCAGCGGGTGGGGGTTCATGCAGGGCTCCCTGGACCTTCGACCCTCCCGAGGGGGACAGTTTATAACACGGGCTGTGAAACAGCTGTTTCTAATCCGCGCACCGGGGGCCCTGACGGCCGGGTAGGGAGAGCAGGCTGCGCTGTGCCTTCTGACCGGCACGTGGCCAGCGGCAGGGGACGTGGGGTGCATGCGTTTGAGGGTGGCCAAGCCCCAACCACCGAGTCGGTCCAGTTGGCCTGAGGGGGTCTAAAACCGCAGGCTGCGTGGAAGGCCCTCCTGGAGGCTCCGGGGCAGCAGCTGCGGGTGAGAGTGAGCGCAGGCCCTCAGGGAGAGAAGGTCCCCAGGGGCTCTCTTCTGACCACCAGCCCTGGCCATCTGAGCCGTGTCTGTCTGTCTGCGTTTCTGCAGGGCACCCGGGTCCCACTCCTGTCTGGGGTCGCCAGGTTGAAATCGCCTGAGGAGCGCCTCTTCCCGGAGCTCGTGGTCCCCAGAGTGGACGTTGCCACTGACCAGAAAGCTACACCCTCTCCTGCCCACACCCCTCCCGCGGCCCTGCCGCCTCGCTCCCCGCTGGCCGCCCCCGCCCTGCTCCCCATTTGCTCCCAGCCACAGCCTTCCTGCGAGGCCGCCGTCCCATCGCCCACCTTGTCCCCCATATGCTTCCAGCCTGGTCCAGCCAAGACGTCCACCCCCCTGGCCTCCGTCCCCGTGAAGAGCCAAGGGGACTCCCAGGACCGGCTGGGCAGCCCCCTGGCTGCAGACGAGGCTCTGCGGCGCAGCGACCTGGTGGCCGAGTTCTGGACGAAGAGCGCTGAGATCCGCCGCAGCCTCGGGCTCACGCCCGTCGACCGGGGCAAGGCGCCCGAGCTCAGCCTCCCCTCGCCCGTCCTGAAGCCCGTGTCCCTCAAGGCCTACTCGGTGGAGAAGTCCCCTCAGGGCGAGGGGCTCCCTCTCCTGAAAGCCCCACCTGTTCCCAGGAGACCGGGCCTCCCGCAGTCGGAGGGCGACCAGCCCTGCCTGCCGACCCCCAAGTCCCCGTCTGACCGCGAGCCGAGGAGCGCCCACGAGGAGCGGCGGGACCTGTCCAGCAGCTCCGGCCTGGGCCTGCACGGGAGCTCCTCCAACACAAAGACCCTGGGCAGCCAGAGCTTCAACACCTCGGACTCCACGATGCTCACCCCGCCCTCCAGCCCGCCCCCGCCCCCGCCGCAGGGCGAGGAGCCTGCCACTCTGCGCAGGAAGCACCCCCAGATGCCTGAGTCTCAGGAGGCGGAGCCCAAGGCCTCGGGGGTCCCACCGCCCCCAGCAGCCACCGCCCTGCGGCCACCCCGGGAGCCGGCCCCGCCCCCCCGGGAGGAGGTGCGGAAGTCGTTTGTGGAGAGCGTGGACGACATCCCCTTCGCGGACGACGTGGAGGACACCTACGAGGACCGGACCGAGGACTCGAGTCTGCAGGAGCAGTTCTTCACGCCCCCGTCCGGCCCGCCCCTCTCCGAGAAGCCCCTCCGGCCACCCGCAGCCAAAGAGAACGGCAGGTTGCCCGGTCTGGAGAGTGGGGTGCACCTGCAGAAGAGGGGGCTGCCTGTGGTCTCCCCGGAGGCCAAGGAGCGGGCCGAGGAGCGCATGCGGGCCCGGGAGAGGTCTGTGAAGAGCCAGGCGCTGAGGGACGCCATGGCCACGCAGCTGCGTCGCATGAAGGAGATGGAGACGGCGGCCAAGGCCTCCAGGCCCCCCGGGGGCCCCAGCCGCAGACCCTCCTCGGGGCCCCCCAAGGGCAGAGTCCCCGGCCTCGCGTCCCACCAGAGTTCCGGAAGAGCCCACCGCCAAGCACAAAGCCGCCAGCGAGGAGGCCCTGTCGCCCGCGTCGGACGCGGGGCCCCCTGACGGCTCGCTCACCTCCTCCGAGGGCTCCAGCGGGAAGAGCAAGAAGAGAGCGTCGCTCTTCTCCCCACGCAGAGCCAAGGGGAGGGCGGCCAAGGGGGAGGGGCGGCCCCCGGAGAAGCCCGGTGCAGACCTTGCAGAGGAGGCGGCCCCCAAACCCAGGTCCCTGTGGAAATCGGTCTTCTCTGGGTACAAGAAGGACAAGAAGAAGAAGGGAGACAACAAGTCCTGCCCCAGCACCCCCTCCAGTGGGACCACTGTGGACTCAGGGAAGCACCGGGCGTCGCCCAGACTGAAAGCAGGTGTGTGGGCACCTGGGGCCCCCCACAGCCCTCCCCGCCCTGGGGCAGGGCACAGGACACGTGCCTCTCCGAAGGTCCTGTCCCGTGCCCCGCACCCCAGCCCGGGGCCCTAGAGCTGTGCTGGCTGGGGAGGGAGAAGGGGCGGAGGCTGTGGGAGGACAGCATTGCCTGCAGACTGCAGCCTCCACGCTCTGGCTGCTTGGGTGGGGAGCGGCACCTCAACTAGACATGACCCAGACCTCCAGCCCAGGCCAGCGCCGGCGCTGCCCTCACCTGGCCCTTCCTCTCCCCCCAGAGTTGCAGCTCCGACGCCAGCTGAGCTTCTCAGAGGACTCAGACCTCTCTAGTGACGATGTCCTCGAGAGTGCCTCCCAGAGGTCGAAGCGAGAGGTATGCAGGCCAGTGGGCGGCTGCGGGGGCCGGGGGTGGGGGGGCTTGTGTGGCTCAGGACCAAGGCTGCTGCCCTCCGTGCAGAGCCAGAGGGGCAGGCTGAGCCTCACCAGCGGTGCAGGCAGGAGATGCAGCAGGACGAGCTCAGGCTTCTCGGGGGGCTGCCAGGGCTCCGGCATCCATGGCAGCAGTTTCTGGGTTCAGCTCTGGGAAGACAGGTGTCCCAGGCCAGTGGATGGAACCACACACTCCGTCTGTCTTGGGGAGGCGCCGTGCGCTGTCCCTCCACTCCCCCGTCCCCGGCAGAGCAGCACTCCCCAGGCCGGAGACGGGGCTGTCTCTGCCCAGGCCCCGCGGGGCTACGAGGACCGGGCCTCCCTGGTCTCCACCACCAGCCCTGGGTACTGCTCCCCCTGCCCCTGCCCGCCCAGTGGAAGGTCTAGCTGCCTCCTGCTCCCCTTTTTGAATGGAAAACTTCCCCAGAACGTTCTGCACCTTCTTTACCACGCTTCCCAGGACTTGGCCTTGCCTGCCAGTGAGGCTGCAGCAGGGCTGCGCCCCACTCCCTCCTCCTGGCCTGACCCAGTTCCTCTCTAATGGTTCGGCAAACCAGCTGTCGTCTCACTCCTGACGTGTTCATCCCCCTGGACCACGCCAGCGCTGCATCTGTCTGTTCTCCTAGGAGGACGCCTGGGTTGCCGGGGGCCACAGGAGACAGGGAGCTCCTGTGTGCCAGCCCCGCAGGGACTTGGTGGGGGCCGGGCCCTGCCCGGGGTCCTGCAGGGGCCTGGCGGGAAGGAGCCCGTGGTCTCCGTGTGGATGAGCAGACCAGTCAGTCCCAAACGTCCATCTGTGGTTGCTTCCGGGTCGGGTCTCTGCACCGTTCCTCTGCTCACCGGTGACCCGTCGGGTGCCGTGCCGAGCAGCAGGCTGTCCGAGCTGGCGCTGCCGAAGCCACAGCTCAGCAGGCGCAGCCTCTCCCTGCGGAGCACACGGCGGCAGGTCCCGGACCCACTCCCGGAATCCTGCGTCTCACGTCACACGTGCTCCCTCGGGGGCGGCCGTGGGGGGAGGCAAATGTCCTGACGCCCGCTGGGGTGCAGGCCAGCTGAGCGGGAGGGACCGCCAGTCCAAGAGGAGAAGCTGAAGGTGGAGGGACGGGGAGGGGCAGGCAGGCCGTCACAGAACGGTCCCGGGATGTCGAGTGCAGCGCAGGGGGTGCCGTCAGCGTGCTGGGGTTGCTGTGCTGGCGGGCACTGGGACCACCGGGCCCGCGCTCTGTGAGCATTTGACCGTCCGACCCCCGCGCGGTGCACCCGGAACCGGGACAAAGGGGTGGCGACTGCCCACTGTCGCTGGAGAAGACGGGGCGCTCACGCAGGGAGACGGGCCGGAGCAGAAGCAGCCGCGGGCACTGGCGGTCGCAGGAAGTCTGATTGTGGGTGGTACGCACAGATGACCACACTGGGCCGTCAGCGCCAAGTCCCTGGAACTTCCCAGGTTCCGCGTGGGGAAGCAGCTGTGCCCAGCAAGAACTCGCTGATGCTACTGGGGATGAGGGGCCGTGATGCCCACAGAGGTTTCAGGGAAGAAGGTGAGACAGAAAGACCCTCTCTCTCCATGTGTGCAAAGCCAGCCAGCCAGTGCAGGCGACAGTGTTCGCTGTTCTGCTCTGTCAATTCGTTTGCCCGCTTGCAGAGTCTCGGAGCAGGAGCGAAGGGACTGTGGGCACCAACAGGAGCAGCTCCGATGGACTCTCACGGGGCCCGGTGCTGCCCGCACCCCCAGCGGCCAGGCGGGGGACCGCACCTCCAAGTCACAGGCCCACTCTGAGGAGGCAGCTGGGACATTAGTGCCGGGGTTTTGTTTCATTTTTAAAAAAACAAAAATAACTTATTTAAAATGTTTATATAGAAAAATTAAGATAGTACACATTTTTATAAAGATTTTATTTACTTTTAGAGAGAGGGGAAGGGAGGGAGAAAGAGAAACATCCATGTGTGGTTGCCTCTTGCATGCCCCCTACTGGGGACCTGGCCTGCAACCCAGGCGTGTTCCCTGGCCGGAGATTGAACCCGTGAGCCTTTGGTCCATATAGGCCACTGTTCAGTCCACTGAGCCCCACCAGCCAGGACACAATACATTTTTTTTAAATCGCCTCATAGCCTTACTAACAGGAGAGAGCTCGCATTTACATCTGTGACCGCTGCCACCGCAGCCCAGTCCAGCTGGCTGGAGATGTGCTGGCCCGGCTGGCCTACCCCTGGCACACGCGCTCTGGGGCCTCAGGCCTCGAGTCGCTGCCTCCTCCTGCCGGGGTCGTGCCCCTTCCCGCCAAAACCTGGAAAACGGCCGCCCGCAGCCCCCGCGGCGAGAAGGCTGCGTGCCGGTCCTCAGGTCGCGGTCAGAGGGTCCCCGAGGCTGCTCGGGGAACCCCGTCTTCTGTCTCCACGACTGACGTGTTCGAGCAACGGAATTCTTCCTCTCGGGGCACTGGTGGGAGACACGGGTCCCCCGAGAGGCAGGGTCCACACACTTAAATTTAAACATTGCCACCAGTGGCTCCTTCTTCCCAGGGCCCGTGGGGTGGGGGTCCCCACAGCCTCGGGAGAAGCGGAGGGGCCCTGGGGACGCTGCGTCTGAGGCTGTGGCTCTCCACACCGGCGGACCCACGGGCCGGGCGGGCGGCAGCTGCGACTCCCCTCCGCTCTGAGCAGCCCCGCACAGGGCTTGCGGAGCCAGCGGATGCAGTCCGCCTGAAACCGTCTGGTCAGTATCCGCCGTCCCTGCTGCTTCAGGGCCTTTCACTGCGTGTGGTCAGGAATCGTGCCCCCCACCTTCCCAGGGTTGCTGGCAGCGGGGGCGACCCTGGCCCTGCCTGACGAGCCCTGCCAGGGGCAGGGGGCCTTTGGGAGAGGGCGGGGGTCAGTACTCAGCTTGCTCTGTGTCCGTCCCTGCAACGGCCCCCACCCCAGGCCCTGTCCCAGCACCTGTGACATCCTGCAGGAAGGAGTCATCCAAATTGCCACAAGCAGACGGGCTACTGAGGGAGCGACGGCATCCATAACCACCTACTTAGGCAGTTTTAACTTGCGCGCAAGGGAGCTTGGGGAGAGCAAGAGGAGGTTGGGGCGTGAGGAGGAAGCCCTCTTCCTGGGAGAGCTGGGAGCCCGGCCGAGTCAGGGTGGGGCTCCCGAAGGCGCTGCTCGGGGGTCTGCACCCAGCCCTGCGTGACGTTCTGAAAAATAATCACGTTTTGGTCTTTGTGTTTGTTTTAAACTTATGATTTTGCTCCATTTCTGTGTTCTGTTTTTAATGATGATTGTCATTGCTGTTCTGTTTTGTTTTCCGTCGCCACCCCTTTAAAAGTCGGTATCTTTGCCACACGCCCTGGCGTCCGGGAGACCGTGTGCACCGAAGGTAGTAGCTCGTCGCGCCCGCCGGTCACTGTTGCATGCGAGTCTGTGATTAACCACGGCGCTCAGCCCCGCCACAGCGCACTAACTGCCCTGCGTGCATGGAGCGGCCACGCACAGCAGCCGCGGGCCACGGCTGGAGAGCATGAGGTGGCATCGGCCTGCCTGCCGGGGCCGGGCGCTGCTGAAACGGGGGCTCTCCGCCCTCCGCCCCAGGTCTGAGTGAGGGGACACGCTCAGGACGCCAGAGCAGCAGGACGCGGGGCCGCCTGCCTGGCTGGCTCCGCACAGACCCGAGCTCTGAGCGCAGAGCCGGCGAGAGGGCACGGCTGCGCTGCGCCCGAGCACCTCCCACACATCTCCCGGGAAAGGCCTCCCCTCTTGTTCTCTTGGTGGCCGGGAAGAAGGCGTTGGGATTGCAGGCAAGCCCTCCTGGCCGCCGCCTCTCAGAGGTCGCCCAGTGCCCTCCGGGGCGCGTGGCGCTGCCTCACGCCCCCAGTGCCCACTTCTGCCCCTGCAGCGGCCCTGGCCGCTGGTTGGTGGAGTCGGCTGGATTTGGCCAGTGGCTGCCTTGACTCCACGGCACCGGCCGAAACAGCCCCACCACCTGCCTCCTTCCGGCAGCTGCTGGGCAGCCCCCGGGGTCCAGGCAGGGTCACCCCTGTGGTTCCTTCTTCAGACTGTTAGCTGGTTCGGGGCTCACTCAGACTCAAAGTAGGAAGCCTGTTTCTGTAATTCAAATGCCACTTCTTTAAAAAACCATACAAATATCGCTCATCTGAAGAGAGAGGGTTTTGGTACCAAGCCAGAGCATCAGGGACCCTGATTTTCCTTTGCCTGTGTGTCTCCTACAGGCAGGAGGTGTGGGGAACATCTTACCGATATTTTTACCCTAAAAAAGTCCTGGGAAGAGCAGACAGCCTTGTACGGGAAACGGGACCCCTCTGTTGCACGGGCTCCCTGGCTGTCGTCCCCGAGCCTCCTTGTTCCTGTCACTGCAGGAAAGCGTCTCCCTGTGGCATTTTGGGCTGCAGCCTTGGGGTCTCCACATGGTGCACGTGGGTGCTCTGCGACCTGGAGCCGGGCCCTCGGGCCCCTGCTGACGGGTGCCGCCTGCTCAGGGCGGTGTGCACCTGACCGAAGAAATGTCTCGTTCTCCCCAGCCGAGAACTTACACGGAGGAGGAGCTGAGCGCCAAGCTGACGCGGCGCGTGCAGAAGGCGGCGCGGAGGCAGGCCAAGCAGGAGGAGCTGAAGCGACTGCACCGAGCCCAGGTAGCCCCAGGAGGGGCCCCACCCTCCTTCCAGCCAGCTTCGTCCCCAGCCCCCGACGCGGGAGGCTCAGAGGACGGGGCAGAACAGAGGCAGATGGGGAATCCCGCTGCCTGGGAGGATGGCCCCTGAGTCTCGGGCCACAAGGCCCTGGCTCACGGCGGCTACCCACAGAGCCTCAGCTCTGCGGGCTTGTCGGCAGAAAAAGGGAAGGGCCAAGCTCTGTGTTTCTGAGTTCCTTGAGGGGCCCCACGACCTGTCAGCCCCCGAGGGGTCTGCGGCTCCCTCCCCATGGTCCGCCCCTGTCTGCAGGCCCCCCAGATCCCGGACCACCTGGATTGGGGGCGGGGAGACTAAACGTAATTTCTTTATACAAAGTATTAAAAGATGCCTAAAGACAGCGTGGTTTTTAAACCCAGTTGCACGTGCTCAGACAGCACTGAGACACTGACCAGCACGCACGGACGCCAGCAGACCCCCTCCTCCCTCTGGAGCGCGTGTCGGGCCGTCCTTCTCCTGCACGTGCCTCCACGCGCACCCTCTGTGCACCCGCCGGCCGCCAGGTGGGGGTTTGGACGTGTCGTTGTCCCCCCCCCCCCCCGTGCTCAGGACCATCCCCGCACACACGCCAGCAGGCTCCGGCCAGTGGCCCTGTCCTAGATCCGCTTTTTCCCGGAGCAGAGAGAGGAGGCCACCGTCAGAGAGGTCCCGGGCTGTCGCACTCGATCCTTCCTGCAGGAGTCCAGCCCGCTCCCGTGGGCTGGCCGCCCCACACACGTGGCGCAGGCTGCCGATGCGCCAGGGCTCACACGCACCCTTCACGCACGGGAGCATCTGTCTCTCCTCCGGCGTCTGCAGAGCCCCTGACCTCCCAGCAGCCAGGCGAGGCCAGGTGGTGAGAGACCGGTGCCCCTGCGGCTTTGTCCCCGCAGATCATCCAGCGGCAGCTGGAGCAGGTGGAGGAGCGGCAGCGGCACCTGGAGGAGAGGGGCGTCGCAGTGGAGAAGGCGCTCCGTGGGGAAGCAGGTACTGTCCGGGCGCCCGGGGCCGGCGTCCCTGCGGGAGGCCCCCGCCCACCCCCACGGCAGGGCTGACTATGCGCCACCTCCGCTTTCTCTCGGGCGGGCGCCTCTGGGCCCCTGCAGCGCTGAGGTTGGGGGCTTCCTGGGGCTCCGGGGGAGGAAAGCCCATCTGCGTGGAGCGGCCCCAGGCCTGCCGCCCCTCCCCACCCTGACTGAGGCCTCGCCATCGGCCTGCGGGAAGGGCTTCTGGTCCACGTCCTCTGCCGCTGGCGAGCGCTGGGCCTGCCCCCTCCCTGCCCCGCCACTTCCTCGCGGAGAAGAGACGTGGGGAGAGGGAGCCCGCGCCACAAGGACCATCACAGAACTGCTCTGGCAGGGCCCGCCCACTCCCCGCACCACCTGCTGTCCTCAGCCCCCTGGCGCCCCTGCTGCCCTCGGCGCTCACAGCGGTGCAGACGCCCCGCAGAGCCCTCCACCTCGCAGGGTGCCGTGCGCCGACACCTGCGCAGTCCGGCCACCCAGGGCCCGTGGGCAGGCGCGGGGACTGTGGGGAGCCGGCACTGAGGGGGTGCTGGGCAGCAGCCACGAGGGCCGTGGGCTGGGCGGCTGCCGACCGGGGAGGGTCCCCAGCGTGCCGCGTGGCAGCACCCTGCTCACCGGGAGCCTGCGGGCGGGCTCCACGCCGTCGGGTGCGGAGAGAGCGAGGCAGCCTCCGGGTTGTCCGGAGTCCCTGTCGGTGCGGGGCCTGGAAACCGCCGGGCTGGCCCGGCTGCAGCTGGACACGGGCGCTGGGGTCCTGGTTGGTGTCGGCCTCCACCGGAGCCGCACGCCTCGGCCCGCTCTGCACGGGAAACTCGTCTCGTCTCCTGCAGGGGCACGGGCCTCCCCGGGGCAGAGGGGCTGTGGCGGGCCGTCTGGGAGCCCAGGGGAGCCGGGGACCAGAGCCAGGAACGGGGCCGCTGCCGACTCGCTGGCAAGCTCCTGGGGGAGGGGGGTGGCCTCGTCGTGGGAGCCTGGGGTCAGCTGGACGCGGGCTCTCGAGGACAGACGTTCCCAGGGCAGTCGGGCCCGGACGTGGAAGGGGGCGTGGACACCACAGCCTCGCCGTCGGCTCCGTGCTGGTGCTGACCTTCGGGTGAAGAGCAGATGGCGGGTGGGGGACAAGGGTAGAGTCCCTGCCTCAGCCACCAAAGGGAACGCGAGACTCCGAGGCCCCGTGGAGCCACGGGCCAGAGCCTGGCCATGCAGCGGCCGGCCAGCCGGTCCCCGTGTCCAGGTGCAGCAGTGGCCCAGCACCCAGCCCTTGCTCCTGCCCTGCACACCGACGGGGCTCCTGGGGAGGCCCCGCCCTCACCACTCCCTCCCCGGCAGGAGACCCTGGGCAGGGGCCTGGCCCACCCCTCCTTCTGCGCCTCCCTGCAGGCCACAAAAAACCAGGTGTCCGTCCAAGCAGGGAGTGAAGGGTCGCTCCGCAGGCACGCGCCCCGGGTCTCATGGCTCGCAGACGTGCTCAGGGAAGACGTCCTGCCTCCCCCGCACACACTCCGTTGCCGAGGCGCAGGTGGGCGGCCCCCTCCAGGTGCGCCCTGCTTGGCACAGCCACGTCTACAGCGTGCCGCAGGGTCTCCACCGCAGGCTGCCGGTGGCCGAGGGGACGGGGGGAGCGCACGTCGCAGCCTGGCCTAGGATTCCCCCCAAACCCTCCTTGTAGGTGTTTGGATAATTACCTTTTCATAGACTTATGCAGCCAGGATTTCGTCTAAGTCCGTGGTTTTCAACCTCGTTTTTTAGCAGCAGAAACCCTTTTTACAAACCAAGTTACAAGTTCAAGTCTAACTCAAGAAGAATCACTCTAGAATGTTAGCAAATACAAACTGGAAAATGCAGGTGTCGGTGGAGGGCCACCTCTACTCCCCGCGCACGTGGGGTGGGGACCCTCCGGACACACGGGCGGTGGCCGTGACGGGGAGCAGCAGGGCTGCCTCCACACTTAAATCGCTGATGGGTGCAGCGGCAGCCCACACGCTTCCTGAAGAGGGGACGCAGAGAAAGGCCTGGGCGTGCAGTGAGCACGTGCCCGGCGCTGCTGGAGGCCGTGGCGTGCGAGCCCCCGCCCAGAGGACCTCGAGTGACGGGCGTGTGCTACTTGCCGGAACATGGATGAAGGAACGCGTGTCGCCTGCCCGGCACGTTCACAGGGAATGAAGACACTCGCCAAAGCGGCGGAAGAAACGGCCTTTACCCGGCACACGGCTTGGAGTTGATGGTCTTCGGCGGACGTGAGATCGGCACATCAGACTTTTGGCCGTGGCACGTCTGATTTCAGCGTCTGAGTGAGTTGAAAGTACCTGTGAATCAGGTCTTCGGAAGACCCCTGCAACCGGAAGAGCCCTAGGTGAACAGAGCGAAAGCCACCTTGTAGCCCAGGCGAACACTCCCTGTCCCGTCCGTGGAGACGGGCGTCCGTGGCAGCGCTCCGGCTGCCTTCGCACCTGCTGGCCGGAGGCCGTGCCTGGCAGTTTCAGGGTGTTTCCGTCCCGTCTCCAGCCCTCAGCCTGGAGCATCTAGTAGTAGCTGAGGAAGGAGCTGCCTCTGATCTGCCCTTGAGTGTTTTACATCTCAGGTGAGGCCGAGGCCTCGTGGAGCTGGGACTCCCCGCAAAGCCAAGGCCTTCTGTCCTCACTGGCCGTTGGAGGCGTCAGCGACAATGCTGTCACCTGTGGGTCAGCGACCCACCCCCCAGCCCTGGCAGGGAGGGTGCAGCTCAGCCCTGTGTGTGCCCTGAGAGGTGCATGCGTCCTGGCCGCTCCGCTCCCCGTCTGGCTGCATCTGTCCCTTGCGCTTCCCGTTCTTGATTGCAGGGGGGGCTGGTAGGGCGGGGGGCCAGCTGTCAGGTCGTCAGGTCCAGTAACTGTCTTCACCGGTTCCTGTTGTAGACTATTGGGGAGAGTCTTGTTACAGTGGCCTCATCGACTTGCATCTGGGTGGTATGTATGGCGGCACCTGTTGCTGACACTAACCCTCTGACCACCCCCTGAGCTCTCCTTCCTCAGTCCCTGCTTACAAAGGGCGAGAAGCAATCAGCCCAGTAACTGAAAGGGCAAAGCACAGGCTCTTTTCCAGCTCGGAGGAGCAGCAGGGGTCCGTGCCCTGCTCCCCGCCCCCTGCCCCCTGGGCTCTGGGGAAGAGCGGAAGTGGCTTCTGCTGCCAGGTGCCACCTGAGCTTCTTATGATCAAAGTTCGCCCGTCCCACCAACCTCGAGTCTGCACCCAGGTCCTCCTGACACCATTTTGGTGGTTTGACATCCAGCACGTGGACGAGTGGGCGCGCGCGCGCGCACACACACACACACACACACACACACACACACACACATACACTCCAGCATGACCTCACCACACAGCTTGTGGGTGGCATCCACTGGGAAGCCCACGTTTCCCCAGGAGGCCTGAGTGCAAGGGGAAGTACCCCTTGGGGTTTCCATCCAACTCACTGACCTTGAGCAGTGTGGACAGGTGTCAGCCACAAGGGCCCTCCTTCTGTCCTTCTGTCCCTCTGTCCAAGGCTGACTTTGTGGGTGGGGCCCCAGGGCCACCCGTCAGCTTGAGACCTGGGAGCCTGTTAGACACGCAGGCGGCCGCTCCCCACCCCAGGCCGGCTGAATCAGAGCCCACGGGGGACCCCCAGGCCCTCTGAAGTGGGAGGGCCCCTGCCTGGGAGGCAGTCTGGGCCTGTGCTATCATTTGTACGAGAAGAGAGGGACACCAGCCCACAAGCCTCGTCTCTGGACGCCGGGCCACCTTGCCCCTGGAATCTGATGCTCTGTCTAGAGTCCGGCCGCACGGCCGCTCCCAAGGTGAGTGGGGCTCACGAGCCCCGCACCCTGGTCGGGCAGCCTGGCCTCCCCATCCGCCCAGCCAGCTCCTTGCCTCCTGCAAGCGGCCTTAAAACTCAAACTGGCCGGCACGACCCATTCTCGCTTCCCACCGCCACCGTCTCACCGTCCCTTTAAAACGTGCGGGCGCGGCTCTGCGGTTCCCGCCGTGAGCCGCCCAGGGAGCTGCCGGGCTCCTGGCTTCGCGGCTGGGCTGGGCGTCACTGGTGTCTGCCCTCTGCCTTCGACCCCCGGCCCGTGGGGCTGTCAGGGACGTGCGTGCCTGTGGCCATCGAGACTGCAAAAGGGCTGATGCTTCCCCTCTGACTAACAGACCCCATTTCTTCTCTAATGTCCCCTCCTGCCTCCTCCTAACAGTCCCAGGGGGTGTTTGTGTCGCTTCCAAGTGAGTCTCGATGTGTGAAATGTTTTGTTTTGTTCTGTCTTGTTTTAATTCAGAACCTCCTGGAAGGGACTGTGGAACCCATGTCTTTGGGGTTGTGGTCACCCTTCCCTCCCCGTTCACTGAGTGCCCCCGCCACGTGGCTTAGCTGTATCTGTCCCCGTTGCAGGAGCGACGTGTCGCCGGCTGCTTCCCTGTCCCTGTCCCTGAGCTCCGTCTACGAGCTTTTCAGGTTTAGAATTCCAACAAATTGCAGGGGGAGGTGAAACCGATTTTAAAACAAGAAACTCAGTGTGTCTCCCGAACTACGAAATGCCTGGCGGTCCCTCTACTGGGCTGTCGCCGTCTCGTCGCTCCTTCTCCGGCTCCTGTGACTCCTGCGTGACAGTCAGACTTGTCCATGGCTTCTGACCGCCACGCAGAAACGGGGGAGACGCTCCTCCCAGAGGGCGCAGAGGGCCCTGCTCCCCGCGGCCCCAGAGGAGCCGGCACCAGGATCGGTCCCTTTCAGACCCTGCCAGTGCTCCTCCCTGGGACTCTTGGCCAGAGACATTATCTGGGGGAAGAAAGTATCCTGCTGAGCGTGGAAGCCTGGAAGGTGGACCCTGATCGCTCCCCTGGTCCTGCGTCCCCTCCCCAAAAGGCTGCACACGACCCGTCGCTGGGCTGGCTCCGTGGTTCACAGTTGTGAGCACACGAAACAGAGTTTATTCTCCTGTTATTGGTTAATTGTAGTATCATGTTTCCATACAAACAGCTTCACATCCGAGTTGGCCCCGCCCCGCACACACCTAATTTTCAGAGGACACAAATGGCTCCGAAACGTAGCCCGAGGCCTGGACGTGCTCTCGCCGCTGCGGCGACCCCGGGCGGCCCCCTGCCCTCCCTCCCTCTGGGTCTTCCTGTCCTGTTCGCCCCTTTGGTCTGATGTTGGCAGTGCCGGCTCATCTCTCCGGTCTGAGCCTTAACCTGGCTCTGTCTCTGCTTAGGAGCTTTAGGGTCCCAGTGATTCCTCAGCATTCCCCTGTGTCTGTGTGTGGATGTGCACACGTGTGTGTGTGAGCCCACACGGGCGTGCTGGGTCTCAAGTCCTCAGTGCTGTCTTCTTTTCCTTTTCCTTTTTTTTGTGTTCATTTTTCTGGAGATCCATTCTGTAGTCAGTTTCATTCTTCAAGGCGTCCCTTGGCCCTGTCATCTGTGTGCAGACGGGCCGCTCTGCCGCCCGGCGCCCAGCCAGCCTGACCCCTCAGTGGGGCCACAGTGTTTGTCACTGCCCTGACTCGGGACGGGCCTCATGTCAGGCCGGGCACCAGCGCTGAGCCCAGACAGAGACTTCCTGGCTGGAGGAGTGAGAACAGTTATGCATAATCTTGGTCGGCCAGAGCTGGCTGATCTTCCTGTCCTCAGGCTGCACGGAAGGGAAAGTCCGTGAGAGCCCCACTCCTTGCACCTGAACCTCAGGACAGTCTCCGAGCCCCGGGCAGGCAGCTTTCCGCACATTTAACCAGGTGTGTCCCCAACGTGCCTTAGGAAGAGCAGAAGCCTGGCGCTGTCCGAGGCCTGAAGCAGGTGGACTGCCTTGCTGCAGCGCTGGGCCAGTTAACAGTGCATACAGCGGCGTGACCGCCAAGCACACGCGTGAGGAGTGGCAGTCATCAGGTGAGACGAGGCCCGTGCGTGGCTGCCCGCAGGGACTAGCTGCTCAGGGAGGAGGAGCCTCGAACACATCTGAGGAGGAAGCGCCCCTTGCCACCTAGCACACCGTGGAGGCCAAGAGGAGGCAAATGAGAAAGAACCTCTTCCTCCCAGCGGGCTTTCCCCAAAGCCCCTGAGCGGAGCTTCCCGGGAGGACAGCCCTGAGCTCTGGGGCATTTGGGAGGTGTGCGTGCCCAGGCCTGCCGAGGTGTGCCAGAAGGGCAGGGGGCAGGGGGTTGTGCCTGAAGAGGGTGCTGGTGCACCGTGTTCCAACGGGGAATTCTGTGTTTTCACACGGAAATGCAGGTGTAAGTGGTGGCTCAGCCTGTGAAAAGCCCACTTTCCTCACGATGCTTGTATGTGGTGTTGAGCCCTCCGATCCCCGGCCACAGCCAGCCATCCTGCGGGAAGAGCAGCAGCCTGGGCTGGGACCTCGGGGACCCGCCCTGCTCCCTCCCGGTCGGGCCCTCACCCTGCTGGGCCAGCCACCGGCTGGACGCTGGCCTGTGGCTAGAGCAGGGCCCTGGGCTGGGCCCATCGGGCTGTCGCCCCATCCTCACCTCTCCGCGTGAGAAACGCACCAGATCCTTCTCCGCGCCCCAGCCTCAGGAGCTCTGACAGGCAGAGGGACAGGAGTCAGACTGGGTGTGTGTGCATTTTGTGTGGACATCCAAGCTCGGTCCTGGGTCTTGGCTGGTGGTTGGTTTCCTGTCAGCTGACGGTGGGGGAGGGGTGCGGGGCTAGGGGTCAAGTGTCTCAGACAAACCCTGTCGGAGGAAGATGGACACAGAACAGACAAGTGCAGAGAAGGCGTTGCCAGAGGATCTCCCGCCTTTCCCCACCACCGGCTCCGCAGCCTCGGGCCGCATGAGAGGCCGCGCCCGGGGCGAGGCGGCACAGGCCAGGGGCAGCGTGGGAGTGCGGTGGGCACCCCACCTGGGAGGGCGAGGCCTGGCTCAGGCCCCAGCTTCACGAGGTCCCCGGCCAGGCCACATCCCCTCTGGGCCTCTGTGGAGACTGCAGGGCGGGCGACCGTGCCACCCGACCAGGCCTGCGCGAGGCTGTCCAGCTGCAGCCAGGGGCCACCTGCCGAGAGACCCCTGCCCCCCTGTCGGCGCCTTTCGGGGCAGACTCTCAGTTCCGCACGGGAAGGCGAGCCTGGGTTTCGGCCACGTTCAGGCTCCAGGAGCCTCGGACGCCTGCTTCGCAGGAGAGGTGCCGGGGCCTCTCGGGGACCGCGCAGGAAGGGTCCGTGACGCGCAGAGCCGGCTGCATCCGGGCTCCCTGCCGCCCTGGGGATGGGGACGGGCCAGATCGTGCCTCCCTGGGCACCGGTTCTCCGCTGCTCCTAACAGGGCAGCCGTCACCTGCCTTGGGGGCACGTCGAGGAGCACGTGCCGCTGCAGAGGGGACAGCCCGCCGCTGCCCAGGTGCGCTGGCGGCCGGGCAGGGAGGGTGGGAAGCCCCCGCCAGGACCGAGTCCCGGGGTCACTGTGGAGTTGGTTTGAGAGGGTGAGACAGGGCGGCTGTTACAAAGGAACAGAACCCCAGTATTTAAAATTCTTGACCTGTTTGCCGTGAGCTCGACGCCATCTTCTCCCCGGGACGTGTGGACCGGGCCCAGACCAGGGCCTCCGCCGCCCACGCTCACTGCGGCTGCGGCTGCGTGCGACCCCTGTCGGACTCAAGGTTCCTGTCGGTCTCCACCCCTCGGCTTCTCGTTAGAACTGCCCTTATCAGCTGCATTTCCTGATTATTAAAATAGTGTAGATTGCAGACGTTCCAGAGCACGCAGGAAAGTCTAGAAAGCCAGAGCCACACGGCGCGGGCCCACCAGCTCCCCTCAGGTGGCCCGTCCACCCTCCGCCCCTGCCCGCGGCCTCGGTGATGGGTCGCTGTCGCTGCTTTTCAGACCCTTGCTTCACCCAGTGCTCCCTGTTTTGACTGCATTACCCGGCTTCTGCTCTGAATGTTCTGCGAGGCCCTTTTGTCCTGTGCGTTGGGGGGGCCTCTGAGGGTCCAGCTAGAGGGAGCTGCAGGTGGTGCCCTGCACGTGGGTGGGATCTGCCCACATGTCCGCAGCACGGGCTCTGCACTTTTGTTGCAGGGGAGGGTGAAGGCAGTCCAGCCGCTCAGCGCGTCTGCTGAGAGAGGAGCACTGCCTGTGCCCCCCGCGAGGCGGTGGTCGCGGGCGTGTCTGCTGAGAGCGCTGGGTGGGACCAGCATCTCGCACACTTGCACCCGCAGCTCTGGCTGCAGCCCTGAGTTTCACCGGAAACCAGACGTGCACGCAGAGCCCCGTGGAGGCCACTCGAGGGCTCGGGAGGGAGAGACATGGGGCCTGGGGCTGTCCAGCCGCACAGCAGGGGGCCTGAGCCAGGCGTGTGTCTGTCTGTCTAGTGGCCGGAACAGGCTCACTGCTCCCACCATGTCCTCGTGGTAAAGCCACCCGCTCACCTGCCAGCCCCGGAGGCCCCGGGCGTGTCTGCTGGGCGTGCCCCTGTGCCCCTGTGGTTCTGTGATGGTCCCTGCTGAGCCCCCCCACCCCTGGCCCCGGGGCACCGCCCGCTGTCAGCCCCCGAGGCGTCTCTGCTCCCTGTCCTCTCCCAGCCGCCCCGTCCACGGCTGTCAGTGTCGGCGTGTCCTGTCTCACAGCCCAGAGTGTGGCAGCCTCCCCACTGTGGTGCCGGACCCCTCTGTGCAGATGGGAGGAACAGGAGACAGGGGGTGGCTCTCGCTGGCACGTGGGGGACAGCGAGTCGGACATGGGCGAGTGGCTCGGCGGTCCGAGCATCGCACCTGTAAGAGCAGGGCAGGCCGTCCCAGAGGGCTGCCGCCTCCTGTGCCTGCGACCGCGGCCGGTGGCCTGCCCGAGCTCAGCTCCACCGGAGCACGCGTGTCTGTGAGTGCAGGCGCGGGCTGGGTGGGCCGCCGGGGGTCACCACTGGCAAACTGAGCAGCAGGCTGCTCCGCAGAGGCCGGCTGACCTGCCCCGGGGTTTCGGGCGTTTCTGAGGAGGGAACCCAATACCCGAAACTCAGAAGGCCCCTGTGTGGTGACCCCCAGGGCCACTGCCCCTCAGTGAGGACTGGAGGGAGGAGGAGCAGCCCCACCCGGAGCTGCCGGCAGCCCGCCGGGGAGCGCCCCCGAGCCGGGTCTGCGCGTCCTCGTCCCCGTGTGGGAGGAGGACTCGACTCATGTGTAGACTTTGTTCCCTTGTTTCTGCTTTTCCATTTCTTGTATTTTTCCTTTTCCTCCTGTTGCTCCTTTCTCACTTTGATGCTTTTTGTCCTCTGCTTGTTTTTGTTTCACCGTCCCCCCTCCCCGCCCCGTCTCTCTCCTCTCCCACACTCCTCTCCTCTTCCGTGTGTCTTTCTCCGCCGCCTCCTCCTCTTCCTTGTTTGGTCCTTTTTGAAGTTGAGCCCAGTGGCGGGACTCCACGGCGTAGACCTCTCTCCTTCTGCCCTTGCTGTGTCCAGGAAGGTAACGTAACCCCTGTCCCCACCGCCTCTCCAGCCGTAGTAGCACTAGTCGAAGAGGGACCCACTGCCCAGCTGTCTCTCTCTCTCTCTCTCTCTCTCTCTCGCTCTCTCTCTCTCTGACCCCTGAGAGCCCTGTTCCAAACTCCATGAGTGTGCGGCAGTTTCTGACAAGGCACAGTATCCCTTGGACAGTCTCAGGGGAGGACGGGGCGTGGAGGAAGCCAGGGGCCTCCAGGCCAAGCAGAGAGTCCCAGGACGTGGCTCCGCCGTTCGTGGTCGGGCCGTTCTGTCCCCAGCCCAGCAGGTAGAGGGGCCAGGAGCACGGGCGGTTTGCACCGGTGGCGTCGAGGAATACTGTCCTTCAAAGACTGGTCAATGCAGATGCCCGAGTTCCTCCCCCGAACCACCACGAAAGCACACTTCTCTGCCCCGTGTCTTGCCGAGTGTGTGTGTGTTCTAAGTGTGTCCGACCTGAAGTCTTTTGTGGTGATGAGACTGTCGTTGCCGAGGCATGTGGGGAGGGCGGGCAGTGTGGCCATGACTAACCTCGCTAATCCCCCCCCACCCCCGCTCTCATGCCGCTCACCTCTGACTCTCACCTGCCCCCCCCCACGTGCCTTTGCTCATTGGCTGTGGACAGTGTTTACCAAAGCTCATGAATGGTGTTCGGGTGTCTCCCGTGGAATTCGGGGGCGGGGGCAGGCGGGAGAGACCGCCCAGCGCGCTCACGGCTTGTCACCCGGGACGGCTTGCATGCCTCGGGGCCCCACCCTGCACGGGCACGCGGGCACACTGTGCAGAGACGCTCAGAAAGGGGTGCGTGGAACTGACTGCAGGCTGCTTTACCGGCCCCAGAACCAGGTCTGTCGGGGTTGGGGGGAGCGCCCAGACCCTCCAGCACACACTCCACAGCAGCAGGCTCGGCCAGTCCCGCAGGCAGGGCTCAGGGTCAGGGCTTCCCCACAGGGCACTGCTGCATGCACGCACGCCCGGACACCGTGCACACGTCCACTGCCCCCCCCCACGAGTGTGGCCCCTGTCCCTGCCTCTGCAGAGCGAGGCCCTTGGGAAGACCAACTGGCCTGGGCTTCCCGGGTGTCAGGCAAACACCACAGTAGGAGGAGAGGTGGCTTTGACCAGTAGTGTGCCAGGGAGTCAGGCGTGAAGACTCTAGGAAAGCCGTGACCGAGGAGCTGGACGCACGGGGGCTGTCCCTCCTGGGCGGGTGCTCCCTGTGTTTCTGAACTTGGCCGTACCCAGGACAGAACCTCCAGCCCAGCAGCCCTAAAGCAGGGAGCGCCTCAGAAAGTTCCCCAGTCTTACTGCCTCTTCAGCTGGGCCGGTGGACGGGCTCCGGGACCCCACGGCCGTCCCGAGGCTCCGCGTGAAGTGGTTGGGTGCACGTAGATGCATCTCTTCCTCGGAAGAGAGCCCCCAGCTCTCCCAAGAGCCCCAGAGCGGTTTGTGGTCTGGAAGCACCGAGGAGCCAGTGACGTGGTCTGTCGCTTGCCTTCGGGCAGCACCTCACTGGGGCTTTCTTGTGCTCCCAGGAAAAGGAGTTTCCCCTCTTTGGGCAGTCTGATCCCTTAGGTCTTCCGTCTGCCTTCCTGCCGAGGTCGAGCTGGGCGGAGCCAGGCTGCCCCTGGGGGCGATGCCAGCAGCGCAGTGCTGGGGCAGCCAGCGGCACCCCCAGGCGCTGCTGGGGCGGATCGGAGCGGTGCGCCCCCTCGTTTAGTCTGGGGTCCGCCGGTGCTGCTCTGCCCTCGGCGAGGAGCCTGGTGGCCACCCTGGGACGGACTGCCCAGCCCGTGCAGGACCCTGGGAGAGCGTCTGGTCAGGGCGAGAGGAAGGTGGGGCCCCGAGGGGGCAGCACCCAGAGGAGCTGAGGGTAGCAGGGGCAATGTGAAAGGAGGCCGAGGGTGGTGCCCAAACTCACACCTGCCTCAGTCCGAAGGCTTAGTGTGCACAAGTGCCAAACGAAGGTCAAGTGAATGAGCAGGAACAGGAGGGCACAGGCCTTAGCACACGTGGAAGGAGACCACTGAGCAGGATGGGCCACTGGGACCTGGTGGCCAGGCCCTGAGGGGCGAGGGCCAGACCCGGGCAGGACGAGTGGGAAGCGCGGGTTCCACTAGGCCCCAGCTAGGCGTGCCCTCCGGGGCGGCAGGCACACTGGACCTGTCTTGGGCGGTTCCGGCAGCATCTCGCTCTGCTCTCTTTGCACATTTGCCCCAGTGCAGTGCCTCCTGCTGGCCAGGTGGACAGCCCGCCTGGTGCACCTGACACGCCCTTCCCCTGCAGGCATGGGCAAGAAGGACGACCCCAAGCTGATGCAGGAGTGGTTCCGGCTGGTGCAGGAGAAGAACGCCATGGTGCGCTATGAGTCGGAGCTGATGATCTTGTGAGTGCCTGGGGGTGGGGCGGACCCAGCAGGGTGGGTGGGTGGGTGAGCTCGGTGCCTCTCATGGCAGGAGCACAGCGCCATCCTGACTTAGGGGGTGAGGAGACAGGGTCCCCGAGTCACTGCTGCTTGTCTCCCTCCCCGTCCCCACCTCCCAGTGCCCGGGAGCTGGAACTGGAGGACCGGCAGAGCCGGCTGCAGCAGGAGCTCCGGGAGCGCATGGCTGTGGAAGGTAAGAGGGGCGAGGGTGGGCCGCCCCGGGAAGGCTGGGCAAGGGGCTGTGGCCGCCCGCCCCGCAGGCCTGACGCCACTGCCACTGCCACTGCGCAGACCACCTGAAGACAGAGGAGGAGCTGTCGGACGAGAAGAGGATCCTGAACGAGATGCTGGAGGTGGTGGAGCAGAGGGACGCCCTGGTGGCCCTGCTGGAGGAGCAGCGGCTACGGGAGAAGGAGGAGGACCGGGACCTGGAGGCCGCCATGCTGTCTAAGGGCTTCAGCCTGAACTGGTCCTGAGCGCCCACCACACACACTGGCCGGTCCTCGGCGTCCACCAACCCAGCTGGGCCCTGCAGACCGTCTGGCCGAGAGCCGAGCAGGCCGGCGCTTCCTGGGCATCCAGCGCCTCCGGAGCAGCAGCCAGGCGTCTGTGTGGAGCGGAGCCCGGGGGAGGCGACTACCCAAGGGGCTCTGCCTCCTTCAGGAGGCTCATCCCACCCCCCCAGGGTGTGCAGGTCACGAGGGCAGTGGTGCCACTCGGGGAGAAGCGAGGACTGCGAGGTCCCCCTGGACGCGCAGGGGCCTGCGCCCCTTCGTGTGCAGCCACGGGCGACGAGAGAAGGAAGCGGCTGCCTCTGTGGGATCGGTGGCCGCCAGAGTGCACCCGCACAGCGGAGGGGGCTGTCTTCACGGCCCGGAGTGCCACCAAAGAGACGAAGGAGACAGCCCAGGGGGCTGCCTGTGAGCTGAGACCAGCAGGAGCCACGGCCAGCCAGGCTGCCGCCGGCCCTGTGTTGCTGGGAAGCTGAGGGGCCCCGTGTCCAAGTTCAACATGCAAGCAAGGAGGACCCACGAGGGGCCTGCTCCCAGCCCCACACCACACACTGGACTCCACGTGGCCAAACGCCCCAGGTCCTCCCCGACTGGGGCCCGAGGCCTGTGTATTGCTGCATTTTGCTTTTAGTTCACAACCGTTTTAACACTGGAAAATCCTGACTCTGGGCGACGACGCATCAGGCCCCACGGACAGGGCGGCGCGGCCGCTGTCCCGGGCGGGAGTCGCCCTGCTGGTGTTTTCCTGCGTTTGCACATTGAAATGAAGCTGACAATCCAGCAAGACACTCAGACGCTTCGGACTCTTTTTGTCGATTATTTTTTTAATACTTGAAAAAGAAAGACTTCCTTTTTATATCTTTACTAGGGACACTGACCACCTAGCATCTGGTGTGGGTGTGACGGGCATCCCCGGTCGCTGCCCGAGCGCTGGTCACACCGTCTGCTGATTCCCCTTCCTCACGGCACCCTGTGCCCCGGCCTGGGGTTCCGCTCCCAGTGCCTCCGTCCCCCCCGACCTGGCACCCAGTCCTCACGCTGGCGCCAAACCTGATGCCGACACCACCTGCCAGGAGGACGTTTGAGCACAGTGTGCGGCTGCCTGTCTCTCCCAGTGGGAGCCCCGGCTCTGCAGAACCCGTCTTCTTCGCTGTTCTTGGTGCCAGGGTTTCTCACCTCCTGCAGCATGCTGATTGGAGGAAGTTGGGGGCGGGCCCTCTTGCAGGCTGGCCTCCTCCGTGCCTGGTGGGCCCACCTGATGGGGGTTCCCTCCGCCCAGCCTCAGATCCAACCAGAGAGACAAGCAGGTGGGGGCCGAGCTATCAGGGTTCAGGTTGGTCTCTCCAGGCCAGACCCCTCAGTTCCTGGGTCTTCCTGGGGAGACAAGGGGTGATTCCTCACGGCTCAGCCGCAGCGTGAGGAGGCCCGGGGCGGCCGGGCACCACTCGGCCACGCACAGAACTGGCCCACCCGTGTGAGGCCAGTCTGGGGTCCTCCAGCCGACTCCCGTGCAGAGCGGCCAACGTCCAGAGAGCCGAGCCCGGCAGCTCATCCAGGCCACCTGGGGGCAGGCGGACCGGGCATCTGTGCTGAACTCGGACTTCGTGGGGAACCACACTGTGCCTCACCGCGAACAGCCGTGCTCGCCGCAGGGGAGCAGAGCGCCTGCCTCGCCCCTCGCACTGTCCCAGCGCCACCGTCCCCTCCTGTGGGTGGCCGGGTGCTGCCAGCCACCCGCGCGGGTCTGCCTCCCGCCCTGCTTGCAGCGAAGCCGGCAGACTTCTGTTTTATTCTCTTTTCTAGAAAGGGCGAGGAGGTATTCTAGGTTCCACCTTTAAAACCCAGCCTTCCATCAGGTCGGACCTAGGACAGGACCTTTGTCGCCCGTGTGGCCTTTTGCAGACCCTCCGCCTCTCGGAGGCTGGGAGCCTGGCTGCGCCCCGGGAGAGACGCCACTCCCGGGACCCCACGTCAGGGGCGCCGTGTGCAGGGCAGTGGAAGGGGCGTGGCCCGATGCCACGGGGCATGAGGTGTTGCAGTCTGCCCGTGCTGCCGGCCCGGGCTGCCCCCTTCTGGAGTGCACACGGCTCCCTCCCGTCCCCACAGCGGGGCTGAGGACTTCGCCAAGAAGCTTTAAAAACCCAAGAGCCTGTACGGGGTTCCCCAGCACTCCACTCCACACGACACTCTTTTTAAAGCTCCCGTTTTGTAACCACTAGTTTGCAGTCTGTTTAGAGCCCTGGCGACGTGCTGCATGGTGTGTGCTCCAGCTCTGGAAGTGCACGCGTGCCGCTCCAGGCGGGACTTCCTCCCGAGGCGTGGGTCCCCTGGAAGGCCGGGAACGGGACGGGCGTCTGTGGAAATGCCCGAGGTCGAGGGAGCTCAGACACGGCCGACACCGTGGGTGGCTGCAGTGCCCCCGCCGGAGCCTGCGTCGCCAGGGTGGGGGTCGGGAGCAGGCCCGCACCCCAGGAGCCAACTTCCAGCTTCTTCGACCAGCAGTGACAGACACTTCTTCCAAAAGAGATTTTTCAGTGGGGCAAGAAGTCCACTGAAAGAAAGAAGTTCCTGAAGTAACAACTGAGCTACAAAGGGGAGTGGGTCGTTTCGTGCGCAATAAATGTTTTCAAAGAAGTTTGGCGTGTGTTCAGTCACCGTGCCGGGCCCCCCACCCCTTCCCCGGGGGCTGGAGCCTGTGCGAGCCGTTTCGTGGTGGCGGGTGTGGGTGTGTGCAAGGCCATTACGGAAGACAGCTTTTTCTCCTCTCCAGTCCGTGGCTTTCCGCCCATGTTACTCAGCTCAGCCATCCACTGTCCCCACTTGAGGAAGTGTCAGCAGCAGCCCAGGGTGGTGAGCAGCTGCTCCTCAAGGATGAAGCCCAACACAAAATTATAAATTTACTTAAAACACTGAGATTGTTTGTGGTGACATGTCACGATATATTCCATGTGCGGCCCAAGACAACTCTTCTTCCTCCAGTGTGGCCCAGAGACTCTAAAGGTTGGACAGCCCTGAGTGAGTCCACAAGCCAGAGTGCCCTGTGTCCCCGCAGCCTGCAGGCCGACCTGGCTCTGGCCTGGGACACAGCCGGCCTGAGAGCCCGCCCTGTGGGGCCCACGGCCCCCGCCAGTGTGGACGCTTGGCGTCCAGGCTGTGGGGAGTCAGCATCACCCGCCTCCAGTGGACACTCCCTGAGAGGGAAGGTGATTGCCCTGGAAGTGCTGCACTCGGCTACAAGGAGCCCCCGGGCTGCTTTCCCTGGCAGAGGCACGGCGGCTGCCCCTTCCCCCTGGCCAGGCAGGAGCACCGGCTCGTCCCAAAGGCGTGATGCTTCCCCCGGGGGCGGGGATGAGAGCAACACGGTGACTGGTGGGCACCAGTGAGCCTCGCCAGCCTGGAGGTCAGCCGGCTCTGCTGCCAGCGGTCCCAGGGAGAAGGGCAGAGCCCATGGGTGCCAGATACCACGTCCTAGGAACAGCGGTGCCGGCTGGTGTGAGTGCACTTGGCCCCAGTTACTGGAAGGAAAGACAGGCTGGGGAGTGGGCCTGAGGGGAAGAAGAGGCGTTTGGAAGTGCTGTGTGGTGGGTCCCGGTCACTTCTTACCCCTCCCAGCAACCCCTGGGTCGGAACTGGATGCAGGCAGGGTTTGGCTGCCGCTCAGGCACCCTGGTGGCAGGAAATGGGGACTGTGGGTTTAGGCCGGGCACCCCAGGGTGGGCCTGTCACAGGCACGTCCTCCCTCTCCAAGAAACAGCCACGTCTGAATCCCGTGGTCCCGTCACAGAAGTCAGAGTGGAAAGTGACACTGGGCGGATGTGCCGCTTAATTCCACTTTCTGAGCTACCGGACGGGCCCTGGGAGGCAGCCCTCCCCCTCTCTGCCGCCGCACAGAAGGCCTTCTGCCCGCGGGCTCAGCGAGGAGCCTGTCGGACCGCCGAGGCGGGGACGCTCCCAGAGCCCTGCTGCTGCGGAGGAGCCGGAGCCACGCTGGGCCGAGTTTCGTGACAGCCCCACCCCTGCCCTGTGCTGGACCCGGCCCTGTGGGCGGCCCCCGGGCCGGCTGCCTCGGCCTGAGAAGCCCCCGTGCCAGGGCAGCCAGGGAAGGGGAGGTGGCGTGCGTGCTGTGACGCACGCGCCCATGCACACACTCGCACACCCGCTCCTTCCATGCCTAGCGTGGCCTCTCTGGACAGAGTGGGTCCGCCGGGGGCCAGGGTGGGGCCCGCTGGGCTGGTGGCCGGAGCCGGGCAGGATCCAGGTCGAGGGTCCCCCTGCCACCGTCAGCCCGGGCCCAGGAGACCGCAGTTGTGCCGGCCCGTCCCCAGGGCGGTGGACAGCACGTCCCCCAGGCCCAGGAAAGGGCCTCCAGAGCGGAGCCAGCCCGCTCACACGGCTGTCATGGCATAATGGCAGCTGCTGGTGTCTGACCACGCGGGGAGGGCGCCAGGGGCGCGCGGTGTGGGACTTGTCCCTGCCTCTCGCCACTGCGGACGTGGTCTTGGGCACCTCGCTCAACAGGCCGGTGCCTTCCTCCTCCACCTCACCTGGGGCTGGGGCCCCTGGGGCCAGTCTGCGGAGGGCCACACGTTCCACACGTCAAGGGCTTCAGACTCGAACCGGGGCCCGTGTGGTGCACAGACGCCCTTCGAGGCAGAACCAACGCCCACCTTGAGGAACGACGAGAAGCCCCAGGGGAATGAGGCAGGGGGAGCTCCTAGCACCGCCAGGGCCAGCTCCCAACTGCGCAAGGTCATCTCGGGTCCTGGGCATTTATTGTTAGTTACTTTAAATGCTAGGCCGGCCCTGGCTGGGGTGTCTCAGTGGATTCAGTGCTGGCCTACAAACCAAAGCATCGCCGGTTCGATTCCCAGTCAGGGCACATCCCTGGGTTGTGGACCAGGTCCCCAGTAGGAGGCAAGTGAGAGACAACCACACATTGAAGTTTCTCTCCCTGTCTTCCTCCCTCCCTTTCCCTCTCTAAAATAAATAAATAAAAAATTTTTTAAAAAGCTGGGCCAAATCCTCTGTTCCAGGAACTAACTTACTAGATACAGGTCGCTGCAGACGGGCAAGGATCCCAGAACATCAGCTGAGCTGCCGCTGGCTGCACACGTACCTGGGGCTGGACACAGGTCAGCACTCTCAGCCCACGGGGGCGCCTCTGGCTTTTCCCTGCCGCCTCCCCCAGCCCAGAAGGGGAGCCAGGGCTGGCGACCCCAGGGTGTCTCTCCGGAGGAGCCTCCCCGCTCCCGGAAGACGGGAGAGCAGCCCGGGCCCCGCCGCGTTCCCCTGCATGGGGGACATGCAGCAGGAGCGAGGAGAAAGGACTGAGTTTCGGGAGGAGGGGAGTACCGCTCCGTGCCGACGTGCCGCTGGCTCCACAGAAACTGGGACGGGCGCTGCCAACTCCGCCCACGACTTTGAGTCACGCGAGCCACGGCAAGAGACACACGGAACACTCCTTTCTCCCGTGGCATGGGGTGGGGGTGGGGCGCGCGCCGTGCACCCTCCCCTGTGCGCCCTCCTCTGGCCAGCACCCAAAAGAAAGTCAGTCCTCTTTTCTCCGTTGTGAAAGAGGGTCATCTGTCCCCACGACAAGCAGGTTCACTCGGTGGCGCAGGACGGGCCTTCCCCCGGGCCCAGCACCAGGGCCACCTGCCCAGGGGCACAGGCCCACCCCCCTGCACAGCGAGTGTCCCCAGGGGCGACAGAGCCCTTCTCCGGCTCTCGACCTGCTCTTCCGGGCAGTGAGGACCCTCCTCCTCCCCTCCCCCCCCCCCCGCAGCTGGCGGAGGGCTGCAGGTTTGGGTCCAGACCGCGTGTAAAGCCAGAGTCACGTCAAAGCAGGTCAGAGTCTCTTTGCTGGTCGTGCCTTTGGTTTGTGGAAAACGCTACTCCTGCAGGGGCACAAGGAAGCCAGGTGGGCACATCCGTGTCCTGGCAGGAAAGGGCGGGCAGACACGTCTTTCGTCTTTCCCCACTTTCTGCCCGGGCGGAGGACAGCCCTGGCCCCACCAGCACGACGAAGCCCTTCACCTGCCCCTGGCGTGACCTGTTGGGACCAGAAGTGCCCATCCCCAGGCCCCAGGGAGTGGACACTATCAGACGGCCCTGAGCAGGGCGCAGCCCACCCCCACCAGAGCTTGGGTGACGGGGGAGGGGGCCGCCTGGCCTCCCTGCAGCCCCACCTGCCAGTGTATGCGTGCTGCCGCCGTCGGGCTCAGGAGGGGGAGGCTGGCGAAGAAGTCCGTGCTTAAAGCCAGTGAAGCATCGGAACAACGTCCGCCCCCAGCCCCTCACCCCCAAACCCCCACAGTGTCCTCCGGAGAGGAGTGCTCCAAGGACCCCCAGGGAGGACCAACCGCTCTCTGGGACAGGCCAAGGCCGCCTGGGGGAGCAGGGAGAAGCTGCCCACCCTGCCCAGCAGGCTAGTGACCGACGAGGCTGCCAGCACCGCCCCTACACGTCAGTGGGGCCTGAGCCCGAGGAACACTCAGGCCTTGGACAGAGGTGCAGCTGGGTCTCCGGCTACCTGAGAACCTCCCGAGACTTTGAGGGCTGAGCAGCGGGCTCACCAGGGAGGGAGCCAGCACCACTGTGCAACATCGGGGGCTGCAGCCCCTCCGGCACCCTGCAGGGGGCCTTGGTCCCAGGGATTTGGGTGGGCCCACCGATTCAAACATTTCCCATCCTTCTCTTCCTCCAGGCCAACGCTGATCTGCTCAGCCCCTCTCCTTTGTCCTTATGCTCCTCTCAAGAGGGTCCCGAGTCCCAGGCCTTCTCTCTCGCCTCCACCCAGGAGAAAGTCTTTTTCTTTTTAAGGTTTTATTTATTTTTAGAGAGAAGGGAAGGAAGGGAGAAAAAAGGAGAGAAACATCACTGTGTGGTTGCCTCTTATGCACCCCCTACTGTGGACCTGGCCCACAACCCAGGCATGTGCCCTGACTGGGAATTGAACCGGCGACCCTTTGGTTTGCAGGCCCGAGCTCAATCCGCTGAGCCACACCCAGCCAGGATCAGGAGAAAGTTCTTTACCAGAGGCCACTGGCCTCGTGAACTGAGTGAGCCAGGGACCAGGACTCCGGTCTGGCACCTGCCTGGCCCCAGCCCAGCCACCTCCTGGCTGGCGGACCCTGGAAGCGGGAAGATAAAGCCCGCTCTGCCCGTGAAGTGGTTGTGGGGTTGACAGGAGGCCAGAGACGCTGTGGGCGCCGTCCTCCCCTCGGTGTCGAACGGGGCCCCGACCACAAGCAGATGTGTCCACGTCCCCAGCGCTCGTGCCAGGAACCAGCAGCAGCTGCTGGAGCCTGGTTTCCAGGAAATCAGTGATACAGCATTTGTACAAAAGAGCGAGCCCCGGGGGCTGGCTGGGATGCAGGGAAATCCAGCTTCAGAATGAAGAGCCAGAAACTTCACGTGCCCGAGGCAGGGTCTCCGGCCCTCGGGGTTCACGCCCAGACTTCAGCTCCTCAGAGGAGCTGAAGGTGGCACAGGACCACCAAGTTCTGCACGGACCACGGGCACCCTCCATCCCAGCAGACCCATCCCTCCCCCTGAGGAATCACCTGCCCCAGGACCCACCGCTGGGCATGCTGTGGCTCAGCTGACTCCTCGGAGCCCCTTCCCGAAGGGCAGGAACTAGACGCCGCAGGTACAGGAGCCCCAGGGCCTGGCCCACCCTGGGGGCCCACTCTGGCAGCCCCCACCTGCCTCTCTCTCTGGGGCCCATTCCGAGCAGAGCCACTCTGTTCCGACTCCGTGGGTGAAGGAAACCACACCAGCAACACTGGCTGTTGGCTCCGAGAGAGAGATCCAGGGGGCACACCTGCGTGAGGTGACGTCGGAAACTTCA